AAAGAATTGATGTGTACGCTGAGAAACCATGTATGCACCTCACCAGTAATGGTAAATCTATATTATCTTACCAGTAGAAAACATTAAAATGTGATTAATAATATCAGCATAAAAATATATTAAACTAATAATCTCATTAATTTAAACTTTTAGAGTTGAGAATAATTATTTAAATATAATAATTTTTCTAAATAACGTATTTATTATATGAAAATTATAAAAATGTAATAAATATTTTTGATAAAATGGTATTATTAATCATTTAATTTCAATTTAAAAAATTAAATCAGGCATTTTTTAAATAATACTATAATTTTGATAATTATTGTAATATCTTAATTATATGAATTTAAAATTTGAAATATATATAAAGGTACGTCGGTTATAAAATTAGGCAACAGCAGCGAGGGTAATGCATTGGTATTATATATATATATATATATTAAAATGATAAAAATTTAATAAATTATGATAATTTAAAAAATAATTTATTAAGTATTATAGATTTTATATAAAAACAAAGATATTTGTGAAAAAATTGAAAGTTTATATAAAATAATAAGAAAAATTTTATTAATATAAATATTTATTAAAAATTGAAGGTTTATATAAGATAATAAAAGATATTTTATAAATACAAATATAAATATTAGAGCTGCCAAGGTTTGGACATTAAAATTTAGAACTCAAATGAATACAATTATTTCTAACTCACTCTGATTAGGTCAGAACCTTTAGGAAGGGTTAGCCCAAAGGTCACTTGCAGTTTATATTGTTTTATTATTTTTTTATAAATAAATATAATTATGGGTTGATATTCATAGTTTTAATATATATATATATATATATATATATATATATATAGTCTACGAATTTAACAGGATTTAATTTGAATATTTAAAAAACTAAAAAAACCATCGTGAATAGTTAAATTTAAGAAGACCAAAATTTTATGTACATTTTAGTATAGGGACAAATAATGTAATTAAGTTTAGTGTTTAATATATCATCCTATTTACGTGCATTCTTTATACGTTTAAATAAAAAATCATAATGTTAAAACTTCTTTGAGACCTTGATGTCAACAATCCGTGCATGTGACAACTTTTCCTTCAAGCTGACATCAAGTTGCTTCTTTTATGATGTAGGTTTCCTTTTTTTTAATTTTAGGCAATTTATACAATCAATTTAAGAGTGAAAATAAAGAATTAACTCTGTATTTATTTTTTTTAACTTTTAATACATATTTAAATAAGTCATCTTGAAAAAATAATAGTATCATGAAGCATACTACTTGTATAAACTCGCTATCCGCGCTAAGATAAGGTTTGGACTTTGGGTTATTTTTATCTCATCTCAAAACGTGATACAATTTATATAAAATAATAAGATTAAATTAAGTAACTAACTTTTATTTCTAAAATTTAAAATGAAACTAATAAAAAATAAATAAATATATGATAAAATTGGAATAGAGGACTTGCACATTGTATAGAGTAACAAATGAATAGTTTATCATAGCCAATTTAGTTATATAATCATGCATGATTAAGAAAAAATATGATAATTATTATACATTGGTGTTTGAATTAAAATCTCCTTCTTTGTTGAAAAGTTTTCTTTTATCTTACGGATGAAATATGCAAATATTGGACAGGCGAGCTCCATTAGCAAGTATATTTTTATTAAATGAAGAAGTTATTTATTAAAAAATTAACATTCATTTTTATATAACCTAAATTTAATTATTTTGAGATGACAAGGCAAAAAGCAAAATAGTTGAATTATATGAAAGAGTATCAACCATCCTATAATGGCAAGAGAATGCACATTTACACAGAATTTATATTGCTTGTTAAATACTACATCTGATTCTATTTATAAAAAATAAATATTGAATTCATTAAAACCAATAAAGAATAGTTATATGTCTTGTATTTAAACAAATTTTCAAAAATATATATAATATCAATTGACATCTTATATAGAATGTGTACATGAATAAAAGGTGAGTACCTTTTTAACAAGATTTTACCAATTAATGCATTTAGAAGTGAATCTTTATTTTTTATAATTAAGACAAAAATATATTGATAGTTATTTTTTATAAATAAGAATGGGGTAATAATAATTAAAATAATTATATATTGCTTAATGAATTCATAATCCTTAATTAGTGGTGGTGGTTTAAAAACATATTTGATGGTTTTAAATATTGAATTTGGATCCTTCACAAAGGAAAATTTTATCTAAAAAAGTGTCATAAATATGATGAAGGAGATAGCTCAAAGTCTTGCACAATGGAAAGTATGACAAATATTTAGTTAGTAGTCAAACAAAGTAGTCAAACAAAGTTATTTAATTTTTTTTATTTTTTTTTTTGCACTATACTCTGATCTCTATGACGTGCAATAATATTTAATGTGAGGTTGAGTGTTATTATTTTAGGAATTAGTTCTTAATAAATAAATAGCTCTATTATTTGAGTGACATCAAAAAGACAAGTTTCATATATTTACTCATTGAGTGTGAAGTTACAAGCCTCAAATATCTTATGAATATCCCAATGTGTAAATAAAGGTGACAAATATTTGTGTAAATATTTTATCACAAAATCATCACAATTTCACGACACAATAAATGTTAATTTACATTAATTTGTGTAGATATTATAAGTTTTTTGGGCATGAATGTTATTTCACATTAATGTGTTAATTTAATTTAATAAACGTTAATACTTAAACACAACTTTTTTATTCAAATTGAAGATCACATTAAATTAAAACAACTTTCTTTCAATTAATTCACATGTTTGATTGTAAAAAATATTGATTTATCATTTAATTAATCATCATTAGTTGTTATTGGTATAATAATAATAATAATAATAATCTTTATTCTCTATAAGTTTTTAATTTTCACAAATTTTATTTATGAGACTTCACCACTTATGACTCCAACTGCACGGTGCAGGGGTGAAACTATGTAAACTTTGAAGAGCAAAATCAAGTGTAGAATAATGTTGAAAGTTTACCCAAAAATTTACTTTTAAGACAGTAGCATCTATCACAACATAATATTTTCTTCCTTTAATTTTTCCAGCGGGTGAAATTGGTTGATGATGGTTAGGATAATTAGAAATGGTGAAAATGAATTTAAAAAATTAAATTGAAGTATTACCAAAACAACATATTTTAATTTGATTTTTGCTTTTCCGTATCTAGCTAAGACCCCCTAACTGTTTTTGGCTTTGGATTTTAACGATCGTGAATATGAGAAATTTGTCGTCCTGAAGCACAGCTCAAAGAAAATGCATGCCATCTTTTTCCCAACGTAGTTGGCGTTCAAACATAAGTAAAAGTAAACAATTTAATCCTTAATAGCAACGTTAAAGTTAGGAAATCACCACTAGTGCCATGTTAACGAATCCCATTTAGTGACAAATAACATCGCAATATTTGAAATTAAAAAGAAAGAGTTATGAAACCAAATTGGAAAAAAAAGAAAACACAATAAAGGACAAAAGTTTTTCTTTTTTTTTTCTTTGCTTAATATGAAAATCAAAATTTGCAGAATTCATGTAAAATTTTCCAAAATTCAAGTGATTTAAATAAAGTGGTAGAGATTTATTTATACAAGGATTAATATTTAACAATATCAATTCATTCTTGTGAGAAAAGTTATCTTTAAACTTTCTTGAAGGTGTATATATTTTTCGAAAGGGAGGAAATAAGAAAAGAAAAAAGTGATAAATATGATGAGTGATTGGATAAAAAAGAAAGAGAAATATAGGATATAAAATAAATATAAAAATAAAATGTTAAGAAACTAAGGTTACCCTTGTAGCAAAATTCTTATTCTTCAATACTTTTTCAATTAGTTTACACTGAAATTTAAAAAAGGATAACAAATTACAGTGAAATTAGTTCAAATGACACCCTTAATGAAAGGTTGTAAAGTTTAAGAAAAATCAATGTATTTTTTCTTTTACAAAAGTGTAGATTTAAAAAAAAAATCAACAATTAAATGTGTCAATTTTAGTTTATATATGCACAGTAATATTTAACCATGTAAATAAGATAAGAACTTTAACAGTTAAACGATTCCGTTTTTAATTTATACATTCAAAGTAATATTTACATATGTAAATATCAGAAACCCTGTATGCTAATACTAACAATAAAAAGAGGAAAAATTAATTTATTTACAGTATTTTATGACTTTATTAATTAATATAATTATATTCATATGCCATTAATCACTTGAAGATTATTTTAATATTTCTAATAATAAAAAAAGAAAACAACTTAAAGGTCCACATAAGTAATTATGGTGAACATCTAATTTTAATTAAAAATTAACATTAAATGTACTTATTATATTATTCTTGTAATAATCGTCATTAATTTGATCTTTCATACTTAAATTTGACAATTATTACTTAATTTGATATCTAAATAATGAAAACCAAATTGAATAAACATGACCACAATTAGAAATCAAATTTCTTGATAATAATAAAAGTCAAAGGCTATATTATTCTTTATGAATTAAATTGGTTAACAGCTGTTAAAATCAAACATTAAATTTATTAATTGTGTGTGTGTGTGTTTTTTATTTTTTTTATCTTATTTGACGTGTTATTTTAGGGGTGTGAATAATAAGATTATTATTATTATTTTGGTAAGAAAGAAGTGGGTGGGTGTATAGATGAAGTTACACTTGCATGTGGATCCAAAAATAAGTGAAAGGGAGTGAAGGTGGTACTTTGAGAAGGCGAAGCCAGACTCAGACTTTGTGGCCTTGTCAGGCTTCACTCTGAGATGGATCAGACCCAATTGTCCATAGATTAGTCCCCACACTCCCTCTGTTTATAGGACCCACCACACCCCTTTGCCCTTCTCTCTCTCTCTCTATCTCTTGCTTCTACTTCTACATCTCCTTCTTCGCCTTCTCCTCTGTACACACTAAAACACACACACACACACACACACGAAAACACACTAAAGCAACACAACACACTCTCTTCACTCTTCAATGGACAAGTCAACAACAGAGAGAGAAACCCACGACTTCATGAACGTTGACTCCTTCTCTCAGCTCCCCTTCATCCGCCCCGCACCCCCCAATCCCATCAAAGAGAGAAACGGCATTCGCCTCTTTGGCATCGAATTCGCCAGCGGAAACGACGCCGTCCAACCCCAAGACGACACCCAATCCAATGAAACGACAACCAACAACATCAACGCATTCGACCTCGACTCCACCACAAACGACACCACCAACACCAACACAAACACAAACACCAACAACCCCACCAACACCAACAGCGAGAGTAGCCGCAGATTTGAATGCCACTACTGTTGCCGAAACTTCCCCACTTCCCAAGCCTTAGGGGGTCACCAAAACGCGCACAAACGCGAACGCCAACATGCGAAACGCGCGCATCTTCAGTCAACCATGGTGCACGGAAGCACTTTCTCCGACGGGCATCACCACGTGTATAACCTCATGAACTATCGCTTCAGTTCAACTCCAACAACACCAATGCCTTATCCAACGTGGAATACAAACGCCCCAAACACCACAAACGTCAACACAAACAGGTTCTACGGAACAACAACCTCTTTTTCTCATCAACAACAACAACCTATTAATGGAAGCCCCTTGGCCTTTTGGCGAGTTCCGAGTGGCACTAGTAACCCTAGTTTCAACCATGAACGGTCGTTGCCGACGTTGTTTGGTGGCGAGGAAATTAATAATGTCAGGTCCTCGCAGGTTGTTGGAGCCTCTGGTTCGCATTCCAAACGCGGTAGTGTCCACGACCATGTGAGTTTGGATCTTCATCTGTAATAACATGTTTCCATAATTTTCGTACATAAATATCGGCCAATAACCAATGATTTGGCACAACCAGAATCACTAGATTTCGCAGCGACTCTTTCTTAGAGCGGCTCTGGGAATTGGGATTCAGTTTATAAAATATGAGAATTTTCTTTCCGTTACTTGTAGGAAGAATTTGTTTTCATTTCTAATTCTTTTCTTTCTTTTTTACATTAACAGTTGAATTTTACATCATATATATGCTACATGTGGTTTAATTATTACAATCTATTTAATTAAATATTTGAATGATGATTACCGTCCATTAATCTTTCTCTACTATTTTTCTTTTATTTTGCTAACCATAAAGCATTGGTTGCTGAACTAAAGATTTGCTAGGCATTCTTGATTTTAAAATTAGATACTATATATACGAAAAAAGAAAGAAAGAAAGAAAAACATGTGTTTTGTTCTAGCTACTATATGCTGATTTAAGAGCGGGGTATAGATTATAGGTTCATTGCAAATAACCTATGTATGTAACTATGTATAGTCACGTCGTCGTTTCTTGATCCGGACTGGGAAATCGTTTCACACGTGTGGGGATCATGTAAAGGGTAAGGGACAGTTGTGTGCGCATGAACATTTTGTCCAGACACACGTGTGCCCAAATCCATCATATTGTCCAGGCAGGTGGGGTGATGAGAGAGGTGAGTTCTGATTCAATGCAATGTAATTGTGAAAGGTCATGATGATAAGATTTGATGGGTCTGCTCAAATTTTTGCAGAAAGAAAGTGATATTTCCATGCCATTAGCAGGCACCATTTGCTCCCCAAATTAATTAATTTCATAATTACATGTGTAGTTGCTCCTTTTGTTTTTCACTCACTTATTTACGCAAGTGCAAAATGTAAAGAGAAAATTAATAATGACAGGTGTATGAATATATGAAGATGCATAGACATCTTTCTATATAGATGTATTATTGGTGTTTGCCTATACGCATCGGCTTAATATTATGTCTTTTTTGTCTTTCTAAGATGCATGGAGGAACCTAGCTCCATATTCTACGAGACCTAGCTAGGGCTTAGGAGACAAAGTGAGCAATATCGAGGCTTGTAAACACACGCACTCGCACACACACACTAACATTTTCGTATTCTTGTGCTTTCTCTGAGTCAATAAATGGGAGAAGGAACATTTTCTGCAAGAGCATGTGCATGTTGGTTCTGCAAGAACATGTTCGAGCATTTTCTGTGTTGTTCATTGTAGTAAAGGATGACCCCAGTTGACTCTACTGGATGCAGATATTGAGCAAATTGAAGTGGTCCTGATGTTAGGGAAATTTGAAAGTGTTGTGGAGGATCTAGAGGTAGAATTAGAGTTGATGCATGTGTAATGAGTATTGGGTAATCATTCAAAATTGAAGTGACAATAGTCAATAATTACTAAGTTGATGAGTACTGTTGACCCACAAGTAGGAACGCATGGGTCACTTCTTTTATGCCCTTGTTTCCAAAACACAAATCTCATCATTCAAAGGAAGTGGTACCAAGGGCTTTCATGGGTTTAAAATGGCAAAACCAACCCTCAGAAAAGGATGTGTCTTCCTTTTCCTCTCAAAGACTTTAAGGAACATATGAACATGGTAGTTAGACTGCCATCTTTATTTTCCCATCTTCTGTACCCATTGCTTTTATGTCTGTGATACACATAGCGAGAGAGAGAGAGAGAATTACAAATGTTAGGTGGGTTAGTTTTCGTGTGGTGAGTATAAATATGGGACTTGGGAGATTCCTTCTCTAGGGAAAGAGGGAGGAGGAGGACATGTTCTCCTTAACAATAATAGACTGATAGTTAGTACTGATGCTTCTGTCTACTTTAATCATCTGTTATTTTGGCAGCACAAAGGGTCAGTGATTTATTTGCAACAATGTCCACTACCCAATGTATTACCTTACCTATAACTTTCAGAGAAAAAGGCAACCAATCACGCACACATGTTAAAGGTCCATTCTCCTCAACAATATTGTTGGGACACACGATTTTGACTAACAATACCACCATGCAGACAAGACTTTTAATGTAATCCCCTCTTAAGCTAATTATAATATAAGAGAGATAACATTTATGTCAATGAAAACATACTACCGTTTGTGAGGTGACTGGTAAACAGCAAGTGTGTTAGAATAATCAATATTAATTGGGCCTCCTTAATTAAGGTGAAGAAGCTTAATCAGCACCGGCACAAATGGTCAACACTTAATTAGGTAGGATATTCGATCCTTTGTCAAGTCACCTGTTTTCCCTTTCTAACCATGTGTGCTTCCACCTCAAATGTTTTTTTTTTTTTCGGGAAGATTAAAATAGAAGCGGCACGCAGTGATCAGTGATACATTAGTTAATCTGGCTTAAATATACATGAGAGGTTCAGACGTACCAAAATTTTATTCAATTCTGGATATTTAACTCTACTTATATGGCTTCGGTACTTTTCCACCCGTCCCATTTCCTGCTGTTATTTCCAAGTTCAAGTCTCGAGAAACTCAACTATCCTAAAAGGCTGGTAAATAATTTAACTTGGCTACTGCTTTGGCCATCTCATGATCTGCACCTCCAATATGTAGTACCACTCTTGAATGCAGTCAATCAGATTTCTTATGCACATCGTGTAGTCCTGACCTAGAAGACTTAAGCATATACATTAATTATTCTTTAGCTGAGTGTGCTGTTTTCGTATTAAGGTTTCTTTAATGATATTCTGTTCTAGCTACAACGCTAACTAGAGACAAAATATATATCATATTATACGTATGTATGAAAGACTTTTAAGAAACAATTCATTCTCCAAACAAGTTATTATTTGGCAAAATATTTTTTATCTTACAATTAAAATTTTATAAATAATTTTTTACGAAAAGCATACTGTACTTTTATTGCATGATTCAGCATAAAGTCATTTTTTGAAACTTAAAATTACATGTATATTGTATACGTTTATATTTATTTATGGATAATCCGAAAATGAAAACTGTGTTTTCATAATCGAAAGTCAACCAAAGTTCTTAATTTCAATCTTGTCCAGTAAATAATCTTGCTGCAAACCCATCTTAGAATTTTGTTAAACTGATTACATGTTTTAGGGTTGGTTCAAGTTTAATTTAGTATAATAATTATATTACATATTCTTGGACATGTATTATTTTTCTCTCTCTTTGCTTTCCATCTTTTATATGAAAAGTTCAAGGGAGGATATACCTTTAGTGTACTGGATAGAAACTAACTTGGTCCTACTTGTAGGAAAAGGAAACCGAATACCTATTTGGTCTCATTTGTCCAGATACTCTTCGTCAGGATTAAGAGGTAATTAAACTCAATTTAAGGTAATAATCAAGATATTATTTATTTTAAATAAAGGGCTAAAATTAAGACTAGCTTGACAGGCCCATTAGCCCACTACAGTGCCTATATAAGGAAGGTAAAAGTACATGTGAAGAGTTGATTTTTCATTACTAAAATAGCATTCAGAACCTAATCCTGACTTCAGCATCAGAATGCCTTTTGCAGGTACCCTCCCCACGTCAGCAACAATCAGAGAGACGTCATCACTGCAGATCAGAGACTTCAAGATTAGTGTTTCTCAAGCAGGAACATTTTGGCGCCCACCGTGGGGCCGCAAACCACAACAAAGGAAACTCTTTTTCGGCTTACCTATGGTACTGATGCCATGGTGCCGGTAGAGATTAGAGAACCTTTATTTCAAAGGGAGAATTTTGAGGAATCGGCTAATAACGAGACTCTGGCCGTCAACCTGAACTTAATAGCTGAGGTGCGTGGCCAAGCAGCCATTATGACCGAGGCCAGCAAAAGAATGATGGCTAGAAAATTTAACTCCAAAATCAATCCACGACAATTTTATGAAAATGACTTAGTATGGTGAGTAACAGGAGATGCACGAAGAGATCAGCGAGAGGGAAAGTTAGCAGCTAACTGGGAAGGCCCCTTTCGGGTAGCGGCAAGATTAGACAATGGAGCATACAAGTTAGAAATATTGAAAGGAAAGCTTATACCGAGAACTTGGAATGTTACACACTTGAAGCATTACTATAGTTAAAGGCTTGTAATTTGTAATCGGTGTACTCTTTTTCTCCCCCAGGCTTTGTCCTCTTAAAAGAAAGTGAAAAGGGGTTTTCCTGGAAAGGTTTTTAACAAGGCACCTCATCAATAAAATACTACTTTTCAACTATACGATTTTTGATGCATTAGGATTTCTTTCAAGCATTTCATTTAAATAAATAAAATTCCTTCCGAGTACTCCTACTCAGCCAAGGTTGAATCGTTATAAAAATTTCCTTCCAAGTATTTCTACTTGGCAAAGGTTGAATTAAAAATTTCCTCCCGAGTACTCCTACTCGGCCAAGGTTGAATCGTTATAAAAATTCCCTCCCAAGTATTTCTACTTGGCCAAGGTTGAATTAAAAATTCCCTCCCAAGTATTTCTACTTAGCCAAGGTTGAATTAATTAATTCCCTCCCAAGTACCCCTACTCGGCCAAGGATGAGTCATTATAAAAATTCCCTCCCAAGTATTTCTATTTGGCTAAGGTTGAATTAATTAAATTCCCTCCCGAATACCCCTACTCGGCTAAGGTTGAATCATTATTAAAATGTCCTCCCAAGTATTTCTACTTGGTTAAGGTTGAACTAATTAAATTCTCTCTCGAGTACCCCTATTAGGTCAAGGATAGAAAATTATTTAATCGCTACCGAATCTCCTTACAAACGTTATCCTTACAATTAATTGTATGAATTGTATAATAAGCGTTCGGTTATGATTGGATAAGTTATTTAGGTTTCCAATACACAGGTACAAAAATCCAAAAAAGAAAGTTGTATTTCAAAATTGTGAGGAATTACAAAATTGGGGCACTATTGGCCAGACAGTACAAAAGAAAAAGATAATTCTAAGATTGTTCTTCCCCAGCATCCGGTCCAGGGCCCTCGGGAGGAGGATTATGTTCATCAGCAGCGCGGCTAGGGGCTTCGGCATCCGATTCTACATCGTCATCTACTTCAGTGTAAGGTATGAACCGGCCACCGAAGAAGTCTTTAGTAATGTCAAAATGAAAGTCGGCCGAGACATGACAGAATCCATGACATTGACGAACAGCGTGCTTAAAACCAGACTCGTGTTCAAAGGCAACTTACTCTGAACACTTTGCGGCAAAAGCCTTCAGGTCGGTTTCAGCCTTTTTCCTTTCAAGTGCCAAGACTTCCTCCATCTCGGTCGACTTGGCCCTTAGTGCTTCCTCCATTTGAGCAGACTTCACCCTTAGTGCCTCCATTTCCTCCTCTTTCGCCCTCAAAGCTTCCTCGGCTGTTTTGACTCGTCCCTCCACTATCTGGTAGTGCTTCTTGTACTGATTGACCTCAGCCTCCAAGGATTGAATGGTCTCGCCAAGGCTGGATTGAGCCTCTCGGCTCTCCGCTAGGGCTTCTTGTGAAGCCGAATACGCCTTCTGCATATTCTTCACCTCAAGAATTAGATCAACAACCAGCCTTTGAAGCATAGCTGTCGATCGTACTTGAAGTTCTGCATAGCACCACCAGAGTGACTCAAAGTTTAAACTGTTGACCAATTCTTTTCCTGAATTAGACAACAAGTTAGGAGCAGCTAGCCGGCCAGCGTGAGTTCCAGTTGCGAGGAAGGTTTCGGTAAGCATATCCAGAGGAATTACCGGATTGGAGGAACTACTCGCCCTTTCCGTAGCTGCCGTTCGGGTTTGCTTGCGTGCCCCTTCTACTGCATTTGGCCCACCCGAATGGACATGTTTTCTTTTTTTCTCCTTCTCGGTCTCCTTGCCCTTGCCCTTGTCTTTGCGCTTCTTGGGCTGATTTTCTGCAAGGACTAGGTCTTTGGGAGGAGGGCGAGGTTCAGATACTTCCGGAAGTTGATCAATTTGAGGGTGTCAGTGCTCCTCAATAGCTATACCTTCTGGCGTCCTCTGCTTCAAAGTACGACGGAAGGTTGGTACATCAACACCTCGTTGAGCCATTAAGCTTACATTAAAAATAATAAGTCAAATCAATACAACTTGATTCAAAAAAATAAGTCAAACCCATATCCCAACGAGGACATGGAGACTTGAGCACGAGGAGTATATGTCAGGCAGGTAGTTCCCGGGGGAGGGACTTCAAAAATTCTAATTTCTGATAACTTCTTAGCCGATAACATGTCCTCGGGGAATATGTCATATCGGCGAGGCGTCCGAGTTCAATGAAAGGGGAAGAGGGAATTATTCTCGCTATCAAAAAAATAATTTCTACCTACAGGGTTCACGGTCACCTTGAAGTAGCCGGTTTTGAAGCCCTTGAAGGACGAAGTATAAGGTTTAAACAAAGGAAACTCAGGTTGTCTTACTAAAGATACCCACCTTGCTAAGTCTGATGGGCGGATACAAAAGAAATAAAGAAATAGGCCTACACTAGGTTCTATATAATGGAATTTACAAAGTATCCTAAAGGCCTATATTGCCGCCCACCCATTCGAGTGAAGTTGTGTCGGCGCTACATTTAAAACCCTCAAAACTCTAATTTGGAACTCATCAAAGGGTAGCCTAATACTTAACTCCTTAAATATATATTCATACATAAAGAAGGTGTCGATCATTCCAACACCCCCCAAGAAAACAAATTCATGGTTCTCGGTTTCGTCCCCTTTGCAAGGATTGAGGCATATCGGATACAGCTCAGAGGCCTCCCACAAGGAAATGTCACAATTATCTACAAAAAATTGAAGACTTTTATTTCTTCGGAAACAAGAAAAGTATGTGGTCACTTCACCATGCACCCACTCGTATCCAGGTATCGTACAGGGGGGAACACCTGTCTTTCCCTAGGGGGACTAGTACTCGATAGGGGTTGAGAAGCGTCAATATCACTTGAAGCAGACGACTCGGTCTCGTTGCTGCATTCCCTGACTTGTGCTTCTTCAGCCCTCTCGTTCGGTATGGATAAAACCTCGCCACTCCCCTCAGTTTCGTTCATTATGTCTACCTCGACAGTATTTGGTTTTGAGACATTGGACAGAGAATCCTCCCACTCAATAGGTTCGGCCATGAAGGAAAAGTAAGTGAGAAATTAGAACGCACCTTAAAAGTAGTCGATATGGAAGAAAAGGTGAAGATCTCTGAATACCTTCGTTTTGGAGCAACAGTTTGCACGTTTCAGTACAAAGCAAAAGAGTAGAAAATGGATGCAGGGACCACCATATATTTATAGGGGATCTGGTGTCAGGTAAACGAAAAGACGCCCCTCCTTTCGAACCGTCAGATCCTTTTCAGATCAACGGATGAGGTTGGGTACCCTTTCATTTCATACACACACTGAGGAAGCCCTAACGGCTAACATTCTAGAATATTTCTTCACAATTATTTATTTTTATATCATCATTTCTTATCTATTGTCTCGGTTTCCATCATTCTGTTACTAAACTGAATACCCTTTGATATACACTTAATGCACATCAGTTAAGTGTAAATGTTACCACCACTTGTCCATTCAATACCGAGTACCCTCCTCGGTCTTGTTCAAATTCACCCTAACCAACTGCCCAAAAAAAAAAAAAGCCTGCCACTTATTATTATTTAAAGCCCTCGCTTCTTACCTCTTCGAGCTTGGGGGGCTAGTATACTGGATAGAGACCAACTCAGTCCTACTTGTAGGAAAAGGAAACCGAGTACCTATTCGGCCTAATTTGGCCAGATACCCTTCGTCAGGATTAAGAGGTAATTAAACCCAATTTAGGGTAATAATTAAGATATTATTTATTTTAAATAAAGGGCTAAAAGCAAGACTAGCTTGACAGGCCCATTAGCCCATTACAGTGCCTATATAAGGAAGGTAAAAGTACAGGTGAAGGGTTAATTTTTCATTACTAAAATAGCATTTATTGCTCATAACCGAATCTTGACCTCAGCATCGGAGTGCCTTTTGCAGGTACCCTCCCCACGTCAGCAACAATCAGAGAGACGTCATCACTGCAGATCAGAAACTTCAAGATTAGTGTTTCTCAAGCAGGAACACTTAGCAACTACCAATATAAAATCACTAGCAAATTAACTATTTTTCCTTTGCTATGTCTCAATCCCTTTCCTTTAGATAAAAACATATTACACGGACAAGAATAACTTATCATTAAGAGAGATAATGTTACATCTTAAAAGAGAGTGAAAGACGCGAAAGGGAACATATATGACTAAAATTTTTCTTTTAAAAAAAAGCACTCCTATATTATAAATTTATTATTTTTTAAATAACATATTTTAAAAATTTTTCTCTTTTATTAAGTTGCATGACTTCTTTTATATTAAGTACGTTTAATTTTATTCTATAATGTATAACTTTTTTATTCTTTTTAAATACTATCGTTTAAGTTTAATTCATTAATTTCAACTTATCGTTGATTAAAAGTTAAATCTTTGTACACTACATTAAATTATAAATATCCTACGTTACTTAATTAAGTTTTAAGTCTATTGGCATTTTAGTCAACTTTAATTTGGTTTGAGCTTAAAATTGACTTTTCACAGACTATGACAATAAAAGAAAGGGATGTATCTTAATTCAAATAATTTTATATATATATATATATATATATATATAATTTATAAGTTTATCTTTCTAATTCTTTATTATTTAATAAAATACATTTAAAATTAATAATAAATTTTTTTATTATTTTCTTATATTTAGAAATTTGACTTAAACTTTAAAATACATGTCTTAGCGCACAGAAAACTTTATCATCATTTTATATTTTCATAGGCAATCATATCATCTATAAATTGGAACCAAATCAATGAAGTCTTTAAATGAAGAGACAAACCCACCTATCACATTGCAAAGCACACAAGAGACCTGCATTTAATCGAATCATCTATTGCAACCTAGAATTAGCTAGGTATATGGTTCAAAGTAAAGCATTAAGGAAAGCAATTACAAGGGTTGAACATGTTTGATTGTAAGAATAAAAAGGATAATAAGATGAATGAATCATTGATGAAGGCCTCGTCGACAAACTTCAGTGGAGGTGGACTCATGTTTGTCCATTGTTTTCCACCCAACAAGTACATATGAACAATTGACCTCAACCTTAAATAATGGCTCAACCAACTATGTACTTGTTATATATAATGCATACTTTTTATATACATGATGAAAACAAGACTTGATTTTAATTCACTTGTGGACAAGAGCCAAGCTTAGTGAATTCATTTTGTGAACAAAACTCTACTTAATGCTTATTTTTTTCGTTTAAAAGTGAACTCGTTGTCAGTCCCACTAACCGTAATTAATTATTCAATTATGTAATCATACATTATTATATTTTCAAAGAATTTAATTATGGTTATAATTTGTTGACGTGTCTAGCTAGTTAACTCTATTCATGCGAAAATATATATATTTTACACTACTATTAACCAACATTAAATTTAAAAAGAATATGCAAAAACTTGGAGTGTAGCATAGTTTTTAGTTAGATCAATGTAATAATTATGCTTAACAATTCTATATTCAATTATAAATAATGAATTTTGTTTTAAATTGTTTTTAATAATTTGTAAAACAAGTTAGATACGTATTAAAAAAAAGGTTGTTTCTGGCAAACTTTTCAATTTAGGCAATATCACAAAAATAAGAAAAATACTTTTCTTTAAAAAAAAAAAAAACTTCTGTCAATTGTGTTTTATAGGCATTTCCAGAATCTTGTTACGATAAAAATAAATGTAGTCACAAAACAGAAAATTACAGTTCATCTCTACGGATAGAGTAATAAAAGTCACAATAATGATATGCAGAATGTTGTTGTGATGAGTGAGTGTTGTAATGGTAATATTGACATTCTTTATATATAAGAGAGAAGAGAGAAAAATTAACATTGAAAATGTAACGACAATGGATGGAACATTGGACAGTGGACAAATGACAAAATCTAGAGCAGAAGTTAAAAAGTGAAAATGTGTAGATTTGAAATTATAATGAAATACATATAATTTGTAATATGTGTAATCCTATAAAAAAAAGAAATTGAGCACTCCACCAGAGAAACTCATCAATCCTTGTAATGAATTGTTTTAGTTTATTTTTTATAAAACAATTATTTGTTAACGCTGTCTCATGAAACATTAAAAAAAATACTTATGTTTTAAGAGCATGTTTATCCAAGCAATTAGTAAATGATAGCATGAAGTGACTAGAAAGTCTCTTCATGGAAATAAAAGGCACTGTATTATATGCTGTCATGACCTATGTTATATGTTATGTACTAAATGTATCTCTCTGACCCTCTTTTCCTTTTAAAAGAAAATAAAAAGAGCTCTTTCTTCCACTACAATTCTGGTCGCACACTCTCAACTAACTGATGAGAAATAAAAGGGATGTGCAGAACCCTTTTGTAGTACAAACACTGGTCATTTCCCATCTCATGATGACCTATGATATAATTAAGGAGACTTCTTTTCAGCAGTTGGATTCTGCATGAAAATGTGTTTTAGGTCCTGACTTCATGTTAGTTACTTTGTAGAAGATCAAGATCTTAAATGCTCATAAAATTGAAGGCCATTACAAAAATAGTTTTCTGTTTACAACGAATTTGATTGTTGAAGCAGATTCTAATCTCATTTTATTTAAGCGCCAAGCATCAATCACGGTTTGAATCAATAAATTGAAAATTGTGGCTGAATTTGCAACACCCCATATGTTGTGTCATCCTCAAGATTTTGAAATCTCACCACTGATTACTCCCTTTCAAATCTATTTAGTTCATCCGTCCGCATGAAACACAGTTTGAATATTAGTTTGATGTTCAACATGTAGGAGTAGCAGCTCCGCTCAATGTTTGTGCACCAAACATTTTCTCACTAAATAAAAGTTAGTTACATACATCAATCATATTTCATAAAGTTATTCTCACTGAATCATGCATTATTAGTTTACATTAAAAAATATACACAAAAGAAGTAAAATTTATTTCAATAACCTCTCTATCTTAAAAAATAAAAATAAAAAAAAGTCTCTAACTATTGGTTAAGAGATAATTTAATTTTTCGTTTTTAAACCACAAATATTTTTTATTAAAAATAATTTTGTTTGATATATTTAAGATTACTGTAAATATGATCAAACTCTCCCTCTAAGTATTTAAGATATTATGTTTTAGTAAAACTCGAAATTAAAACAATAGGCTAAGTTGCAGTTTATTTATGTGTTTAATGTTAGATAAATACCTGCCTAAAATAACTCTTCTAAATTTTCATATACATA